TTGGGCCGCGAAAGCTCCATTGGATCTCCTATTAATGCTACCACCTTTGCCACAGTAAGACGCCGATCGAGGTTTCGCAACTAATACTGTTCCTCATGGCAGAGGCATGGGCTTAACCCTGTTTGATCCTGAGCCATCTACTAGGTCATCCTAAGGTTATCAGTGCTTAGAAGCTGTTGTCCCTGCTGTGTGCCTCCCTTCTGCGTTGTTGCTTGCGTTGAACGCGAGCTCTGTATCTTGTAAGTTGTGCTTCTAGAAAGAGACTTGTTTCGTGAAGCTGTTCAACTGCGCCCAAGTTATGTATTGCATTGAGTATCCCCGTCTTCGTCCGAAACCGATGATATAAAGGAGAGGATTCTTTGTAGACGTTTTTGAGCTCGAGAAAGGATTAGCTTTCCGAGTCGGGAGTAAGGCGAACTTGTGCCTTCGCGATTTGCTCCCGGTGATGCTCGAATAGGTTGGAGTCTACCCCAGCTCTATACGCCGGTGTTTCTGTGTAGAAGGATATTGGTCCGCGTAGTCCAAGGAGAACCGTTTAGGCTGATCGGCAGGAGCGGTCTAAGTTTACTGTCAGGATTGCCGTCCCGAGATAATGGAGAAGAGAAGGAATCCATATCGTTCGTCAAACTCATCTACAGCATGATCCCACTTTAATGTGGAACCAAAGCAAGCCCTGACATGTATGTAACCTTGGCTCTTCTTCATCACACAAATGCCAGCACAAGTAATGATAGGCATGAGGTCATGTTCTCAATTGACCGCCACTATTTCATCGTTGGGAATTTTCTTCTCTCTTTGTCGCTCTCTCTTAAGCGAAGACTTCGGGTCAACAAACTTTAGTGGAAAGCGACAAATAATTAGTATTATTTGCTGCAGACAGTTTTATCATGCAAAGTTCAAGTGACACCAGAAGTTGAGAACGAGGTAGGTAACTAGTGCGGACTTATGTGACTAGCTACGGCTTGAGATCGTGACGAAAAGGCCCTGGCAATCCAATACAGAAGGGAACAGAAGGCGATCACACCTGCATTCTCGGCGGTTTGTTGTCCAAAGATTAATTCAGGGAAATCCATTATCTTCAGGGTTAAATCAGCATGAATATTTGAACATCCAAATCGTCAAAAGTAAAAATTGGCAGCAACCATAAAATTTCATGCGCTGAACGAGAGGAAACCTGTAGCCAGGCTTTGAACGAGTCGTCGGAGAACATCAACCGTTTTACCGCTGCAGGGATGTTTTCTTCTTGGTCACTGCGATGGACCGATGGTCAAGTTCATGAAGAGCACCATGAAGTTCCGCGTGTATTGTTCTGTCCACAAGAGGTTCGATTGACCGTCGGATAGGCTTGGCCAGTGCGCCAGTGTGACTCAACGTATCGCAAATCCTTGTCGTCTATTTCCTTTTTTGGTAATTTCCATAACAAGTAAGCAATAATTGAATTGAATGAATGCAAATCACTTTTTCCACAACGATGTATATGAGCTTGTGAAGCGTCCAGTGTTGCATGCACGGTAAGTACACTGGAAGGAAATAGCAGATCGACTCTTTTTTTACAATCAAAGAACATGAGGCGTGGAGTGAAGGCGCTCCGGCGGTTCAAAACCTTAGCTTTTTTTCAGTCGTAGCCTCTTTCACGCCGATCCTTTATAACTTTTACAGAGCCTCGGATTAATAGCTGCTGAGCAGTCTACTATTTACGTTTCAGGTGGCCTTTGTATCTTCCAATTTGCCAGAAGAGCGAAATGTACGTAGTTTCTATAAAACGTGTTTCTATTCCCTCGGAATAAAAAGCCCATAATTAGATCACGATCCGGAGGAAATGAGAGCGCCAAGTGCCTTAAAGTTCGGGCCATCGGTCTCTTTTTGTATAACCGCCAATTCACAAATGGTATAAAGAGAGATCCTTTATAACTATTCCACCCACAATTCACACTCTCCGTCTTCTACGTTCATCAGTCCCTTTTATCAATAATGGCTGCTACGTCTGCTTCCCCCTTGTCTATATCTCTTCCCAGCATCCATGAAATGTTTCCTGGTTAGTCTACCTCCGCGCCTCACTTCCTTGTCCTCACCTCGTCCTCCGTATAGAACATCTCCTCAGAATCACGACTGATCATCGATTGAGAATATCTGCTGCCAAATCCAACGCACTTGTCAGTGGCATAACCTACATAACACACTTGTCCTACTTTTCTCATAACAGCCTTCCCACAGCTTTCGCAACATTCGTCCACTATACCCCATGTTCATCGGGAACACCACATGAGCAACTCAGGAACTAAACCTCAGATATATTCTTTTGACGTGCTACGCTCAGACCCTTCATCTTCATCCCTCCAGCACATCGCGTCCAGCGCCACATTACCGAATCGTCCGTCTGCCATTCTGGGTCCGAACAGAGCGTCAGATCGTTCAGTTGGCTCTACCCCATTACTTCGCGTCAATATTGGCTCTTCGTCTGGATCAACTAATAGACCATCCTCAACTGAATATACTCACGCTGCTGCGAGGCCGCGTTATCCACATATTCCCTCATCACTGCCGTCAGATCCAGACCAAGTCACTTATTCTTCAGATGAAGTGTCAGACGACGGCGACGACAAAAAACACGTATGTAACACTTGCCACAAAAGATTCAACCGCCCCAGTAGCCTACGTATCCACATGAACACTCATACAGGTGCTACTCGTAAGCCACGGCCTTTAATTCATCTGTGCTCATAGTCTCATTTCCGACTATAGCCTTCCGATGCCCTTTTCCCAAGTGTGGTCGAGAATTTAATGTCAACTCGAATATGCGCAGACATTACAGAAACCATTTGAGTCCTTCGAGAGATCGGTCGCAAGGAAAAGAGGAGTCTAATGTGACCGCCTCTTCTCGTAGACGCAAACGTCGCACCAGTCGGTCACCTCCTACGACTACACAGTGCAGTGCCAGATCTCCCACAGATAATGATTATTTAGTACAACGTCCTGGCGTTCCCATGTATCCTCCCTCATACGAGACACGAGGCTCGGGAAAACGGAACGTTCCCTTCGGTTTTCTCACACATGAATCATCTGCTCCGAGCATGGCTGAAGTCTCCGAAGAATCAGATGCCGAGTCGTCGATAGCTGAAGAAGATGAACTGATGGACGAAGATGACTGTTCGAATCCGTTCTACACCCATCGGACACTTTCACCTTACCGCCTTCAGCCGGTATCGGATTTTCATGACCGTTACTCCACTCACACTCTTCCTTCACGGTACGAGCAATCTGACATTCGCTCTCTTCCCCCTCCATCTCGACCAAATTCGAATTCCTCGAGCTCATCATCACCACCTCCATCCCCGCCTATCTCTCCAGGATCTGTTATTTCAGGTACATCACCGACCGGCCTTCAGGGCACTTCTCCCTCGACCGCTTTCCGTCGGTGATGGCTCATGCGCAGATCAGCGCAGATCTTTTACCATTTTTGGGTAGACTTGTGCTCCTTCGAGATTTTCATCCCCGTATGGTCATATCCATTATTCAATCAACTGAAGCCGAACGCGAATTACGATGTGACCCATGCGCGTGTGTGTGCAATGCGTGTGCATGTGTGTACTGCATTGTCGGTCGTCTTAGTAGTTCAATGACCTTTTCGCTCCATTTCTTGCTCATGCATATCCGTAAATGCTTTCAGTTCATGTATATCAAATGTATCGCATGTATTTTTGTTTTACCTGTTCAAGTCAATTCGCGAAGAAGTGTCAGATCTTGTCAGACTCAACCTGAGTTTTGCGGTTTTTTTTTCACACCTACACCGACGGTGGGTTTTTTGCTTGCTGCAGAAATGCCTGAGTATGTATTATTTTTTTTTTTTGAGTGCTTAGCGAGTTTTGCGACGCAGCAGCCACGGACGCACCGCATTTCACACTGGTGAGGGGGGGGGAGGCTAAAAGGAAAAGGATGAACGGAAGATTTAATAAACGAATGATCGTCGGGGGTATGCATGTGGGATGCATGTGGTAGACGTTCCAGCCAACGGCGCAGAAAGTTCTGGGAGTTTCCGAAAGGTCAGGGAAGAAGGTCAAGGATCCCCCTGGACTTGCCTTTTCCTTTTCATATCTTCTCAGCTGTTCTCAGACGATAATCTAACGGTGAGGATTTGAACAGTTTAGTTATCTTGTGAAGAAGCTACTGTTTAGTTCAAGGAAGATTCTCGGTTGGCCCCTCGTTGGTATGCAGGCTGTCCCTTGGCATATAGCGATAACGCTCAGGTCGGAATTCCGTGAAATGCCAGACTTTAACCTCAAGGTTCAGTGAATTTTTACTTGATATCGGTTGATATCATACTATCACGTATCTCGGTGCCTATCTTCTCAAAAAATCACCACAAGAGCAAATCCCTGTGGCGCGCGTCAACAGAGTTGAACGTCTTGTCGGTCAGCTGTTTGCAGGCATGCAACAGAACCTAACTGAAGTGGATATTTGTATAGAGGTGCGACATGTTACTTATTTTCTAGAAGCTGCAGTTGAAGTTGAGTTGTTGGCCAAGGACAGCTGGCATACTTGGTGATTGACATTATAGAGCACTTACATTTTTCCATTTCGGATGTCTTCTTCATTTCGAGGGACCCCTTATTGTTACCGGGTCCGTAGTATCATATGCTTCAGACTTGATTTCATTCTAGTGAGCTGACCGTAAGTGCTACTAGCCCACCACGAGCTCAATATTAGCTTTCAGCTGTACCGACATCTTGTAGGATGTAGAGCACTTTTTACTTATTACAACCTGCGTTCTTCAGAAGAATGACTTGACTCGTCTGAGGAGGATGTAACATTTGGGATAAAGGTCTATCTATCAGCTTGTTATATCAACTCTGGCCCCGTGTCATTGAACTCTAAGCTCGTGAGCTGACGGAAGTGGGCGACATGTATTGGTAATAAAAAGTTGCGGCTTTGCTGATATTTACAGCTTTGACCCGTTTACGTCACAACTTCAATGTATATATATAATATCACAAAAAGAAACATGCTCCCTGCAAGGCTCGAACTTGCGACCTCGAGATTGCTCCTGTAATCAGGACCATATATTACTGTAATCATATGAGACTCGCGCTCTACCGACTGAGCTAAGGAAGCGTCATAACAGGTGGACAAAGTAATATTGTACGTCTCCCGTCCAATTAAACTGTGGAGGCAAAAGAATCAAAAGAAGAGGATGATATCACATACAGTACCCCTAATTGATTCCGGGAGCTGATGAATGGCTACGAATGAATGAAGCAGCGGATCGTCGGAGGACCATGTGTAATTCAAGCACACCGACATACAATTGGGTGTGTATAGCGAACCGGTCTCGCAGAACTGGAAATAGATTGGCTTTCTTCGCTTGAGCTTTGGACTTGCCAGATTGAAGATCAACAAGTTTGAAGGACATGACTCGCATCCGAGGGACGCGCTACAGATACCTATGATTCGGTCTTTCGGCGACAGAGAGAATGTGAAGCCGATATACTTTCCATGTCCGGGATAAGTTGAATGCGACTAAGGGAGTATAAGAGGGTGCTTTCAGCCAGAGTACATCTGCTAAATGCGAGAAGGGAGCTTCACTTGCAAATCCAAAAGTTGTGATGATATATCGACATGAATTAGTATACAATTACAACAACCTTGTTTTTGAAGAATTCGCTGCATCAAAACAGTGCCGCAGTACTGCCGCAGAGCACCGGATCGGACTTTTCCGCGTGTTAACTTACTAATTTGTTGATGTTAAGTTGATGGAGATGCATAATAACCAATCAACCTTACTTCGCTACTTCCATCCGCCATCCCATCTCCTATCTGTATATCTCTATCTTTCCTTTAATCTTCATGGCTACAACAGCAACTCAACCGATATCTCTCGGTGGCCATGGAAGGAATCCTTATAACAATGTGCAGGATATAAACATGGCCTCCGGCTCGTATACATCTGGCGATGGTGGTTCGTTTAACCCTGCTTCATACACACGGCACTTCTTGGGCTCCCCAATGAGCTACCGTAGCGTTGCAGGTTCTTACAATAGTAGACTACTGGGCTACCCAGGCTCCGTGGGCTCAGTCACTATGGGAAGTCCAATGGATGTGTGAGTGGCCCCTCTAATTGTTCCTGACCAGCTCGCTTACCTGTATGTTTCAGCCATCGTGACCCAGCAGTTTCCAATGCACTTAGGCTATTCGAGTTTCAGGATGAACTTTGCAGGAATTATACTTGCTGTGGCATCCATCTCACGGACCTTCATGCACTACTGGAGCATTTTGAAGACGTCCATGTTGTATGTATCGACCAACCAGGTGGCGGTGCTCCCCAGGCTCGCATATCAGTGCCATTTGAACCTCAAGTCATCGATGCTGGTGGTGTTCCACAACCTATGCCGTCTAATCAGCTCCAAAATCAACAGCAAACAATGCATCAGGGTGGAGGTCCTGTCGATCCTGACGACATGGAACTCGAAATGCCTCCTCCTTCTTCCACTGCATCTGCGGCTTCTTCGATGCCTTCTTCACCCACTTCAACGCCATCTCCGCCGGAAACTCTGCTAGCCACCCCGCTATCTACCTATTCATCACCCGGTGGCCTAGTTCACAATAGTCTGGCTGCGGCTTATCCAGGGGGATATCCAGGTGTACATGGTCAAAAGTCATTACCCTCCTCATCGCCCCCTAGCCCTCGACAAAGCTCTATGTATGCCACCAGCGCTCCTACCTCGATCCAAAGCTCTCAAAATACCTCGAATGAAGTTAACCTCCCTCATCGCCCAAACTTGGCATTGAATCTCCCAGGCTTTGCTTCATCTTCCTTCCGGCCTGCTGTTCATTCTCCTTTCATAACTGGGCCACCACCTCCAGGCGGAGCTGGAGCTTGGGCTCATAGTCACGGGACGCCTGGTGGTGTCGACATGACGTACATGGGTAACATCGGGATGGGCATGGGTGGATTTGGCGGAAACTTCCATTACCAGAATTCTTATGGGTATAATTTCCCTTCGGCGCCTGAAGCAGAGTCCATGGGCTCTGAAACCGTGGATATGGGTTGTGTCCAGCCTGCGATGCTGTTTTCCACTCCTTCAAGTCCTCAGTCTCATCCTGGAGACGGACCCGAGGATGAAGATGCCGAATTCGACATTGACATAGAAGACAAGGAATTACCTCAGCCAGCCTATGACGTGCAGAAGGAGGTAAAGAAAGAGAAAGCTGTGACTAAGACGTCGCCACATAAAGCTCAAAATACAAAAGGCAAAGGTCAATATTCTAACAACACTAGCGATACAAGCTCTGGGGTGGCCTCAACAACATCATCTGGTGCTTCAGGTGGTCCCGTCGACACAGCCAAACCAGCTCCGAGGATTGGTCGACCACCTACCGGCGGAGGAGGCAGTGGGCTGTTACAGAGCAAGCCATTCAAGTGCCCCAAGCCTAATTGCAACAAGAGTTATAAGCAGGCCAATGGTATGTTTCGCGCCTTCTACTTTTCTTTAATTTAGAGGCCAACCGCCTATTCTTTAAGGCCTCAAATATCATATCACGCATGGTTCGTGCAATTTCGCTCCCCCCAAAGACATGGAACATGTCCAAGCTATTCTGGAACGGAAAAGGAAACAACAACAACAACAGCAGACTCAACAAGAGGATCCTGCAAACACAAATCCGACATCGTCAGCTGTGTCATCCGGTGCTAACACACCTAGGAGTGGGATGGCCACCCCAATAACACCTTTGTTGAGTTCTCCGTTCACTCACGCTTTAAGCGTGAATACTGGAGTCACCGCCGCCGCTGCTCCTGGAGGTAGCAATCCAAATTCTGCTTTGAGCTCTCCAGTTGGTACTTCGACTGGTTCCCATTTTACTGGAACCAGTAACTTTACTCCCACACCGTCGTCATTAAGCACAGCCCTTAGTTCGGCTCTGAACTTGAGCAGCCCTACAACCGCCACTTCTGGGTACACCGAGGGTGCTTACCAAGACGGTGAAGGAACGTCTCTTAACCGGTCCAACTCATATGGTCAAGGTGCCTCTCAAAACCGCATTCCAAATCCTAATGCTTCCTCGTCTTCTCTCATCAATGCCCTCACTCCTATTGCCAATACGTCAAATGCTCCCGCGAGCGCTTCTAATAGTACATCTGATTCGCTCACTTCCCTTCGTTCAACCCTGTCTTCTCTTCCACCTTCAGAGCTTCTCGCAATTGAAGCTGAAGCTGAACGCCAGTTGAAGCCCTACGCTTGTGGCGTTGGCGACTGCCCTCGTCGGTACAAGAATATGAATGGTCTTCGATACCATTATCAGCATTCCGGAGATCATGGCGTAATCGGATTACAGTGGCTTGCAAGCGGAAAGCATGAATGTCTGGCTCAGCGGGGAGATAAAAGCGTCGGAAAGAATAAAGGCTTGAACGTTGGGACCGGGTCTGTGGGATCTGTGCTTAGCACCGCATATCCTTCGACAGGTCGTGTCGGAGGTACGGAGAGAGAAGGGAGGAAAGTTCGAGGAGCGGGTTCTTCATCAAAGCCTACCAGTCGTGCCTCGAGCGTCAGCGCGAGTAGGACAGGCACACCAGTGAACACGACGTTCCCACCGTTGCCGTCACCGTATGCCCCTGCAGTTCAAGGCGAGGTCCATGCTACAGCCACGCAAGGCTATCAGCCCACTCAACAATTTGCGCAACCCTCTTCGTCTCAGTCTCTCTCAACGCCAGCGCACCAATATCAGCAGACCCCACAGTTCACACCGCAAACGACAAATGCGAGTCATACGAGCTACCAATCTCATTTAGGGTACCCTGCGTCGGGTGCATAATTCCTGTCCCACGTTCTGCATATGCTCAACGAAAAATGTATGGTGCGATTGCAATCATAATCGGCCTCCACCAAAATGTATACACTGTTTATAATGTTTCTATGATTTCCCTTCATCTCTCTACTCTTTCCATCTTGAAATTTTTAGTTATACGATATGCTATCGCTTTCTGCGCGCCCATATTTCCTTCGGTGACTCTTCCACTGCGGGTTGTGTTATAATATCTTCAGGTCCGCGCGCGATCTCATTGGGTACCTTCCACCGCTCATTTGCAATATCAGTTTTTGCTGTAATTTTGTGGTTCTCTTGCTCCTTTCTCGCTGCAAATGCGATTGATAACTTAGTCACTCCCTCCTCACATCGCCTCTTCATTAGACTAGGGCCTTTGCTTGGGTACATTTGTACCATGGCGGTTCTCCTTGCTGTATGTCTGTATAACTCCCTCTTTGAGTGTCACAGAGCATCGTTGTACAGTAGCAACTAGCTTTTTATACTGGCTACAAGACTGTGCATATATGTATGTGCTTTTATACGAGGCAAAGTGTGACATTAGTGACTGTCACATCGAACACAGTAGGAACGGTCCGACCGGATAACTATTATTAATATTACCTACCTCTCCCCATCCTGCCGAGGTTGATTCCCCAATCATCTTCGACATTTGACTTGAATCACTCAGAGCACACGACCAAAAATCAGCAGGAAGCTGGTTCTTCGATGTCCAGCCACTTGGCGAATGTTAGCGCTGGAAGCTCTTTTGCCGAAGAAATGGCCGCTACGAGATCTGGCTCAGTATCTGTGGATGATGATCCAAGCATAGAGGATTTCGAAAGTGCACCACGGAAGAGGAAGACAGTAAGAAGAAGAAAGGTCAATCATGCCTGCTTATATTGCAGAAGGAGCCATATGACTTGCGATGAAGGAAGGCCCTGTCAGAGATGGTACGTTACCGTGCTTATGATTTCTCCCTTTTCGAGCTCAATGTTTTCTTTAGTATCAAGAGGGAGATAGGGCATTTATGCCATGATGATCGTCGACCCAAGTCTGATAACCAGTCGTTCACAGATAACATACCAACCACAGCGAATACTACACCAGGTTTTAGTACAAGTAAGCTCTTCACCTCTTAACTATGATTCTATTCACTAAGAATTTTCAGCTACAATGTATGCCCCTACGGCTGCAATTACAAACCGACCTCAATCCACAACAACAGCCGGTGCTCCCACATCTTCAACAGGTACCTGGCCCATGGTTTCGCAATCACCCTTCGTGTATCGCTCGGATACACTGGGAAATGAATT